AGATCCAATTTACACAAATGAAATTTAAACTGATTTACTTGTTATGAATATTTTAATACCTTGCAAAGAAACTTGTTTTGGGTTCCTGCATACAATGACTTCAGGAAATCAAAATCAAATGTCCAATTTTATGCATGTTCTCTCTGGCATAAGTGCCATGCAACTTACAGCTGTGCTGATATGCACGAGATTGAATTTTCAATCTCCATTAATATAAAATCTCTTCAAAATTCTGTTCAAAATATAAATAAAACATAAAATTTGTTGACAACTATAGCATAGTATAACTTGCCCTGTGAAATAACCATTTGATCTTCTTCAGAATAAGGCTCCTGAGAGAAGGTAAAACATTGTTCTTAAAAGCTACCTATTAGCTTTGTAACAAAAAGCTTAAGTGTCAAGTGTATTTTCTTTATAGTAATTTGAGAATGTAAAGTGTTTAAACTAAATAAATTTAGGCAAACAGGTGGAAGTGGTCAAGCAGGAGAAGAATTCAGCCTCACAGGCCACCCCATCTGGACCACAGGACGTTTGGTGAAACTTCTCTGAGAACCAGGCTTATCTTGAACCATGCCAAAGAGAGCATTAATTAATATGTGTTGAGCACTTACACTTGGTATAAAAATAACCAGAAAAGCATTATTTCTGTCCCTAACAACTAAGGCAGCACGACTACACATGTGGCATCCTGTTTGTCCGTCACACAAAAATGGCAGAGTCAAGTCCTCCACATGATTAAAGGACAAAAATGGTTATGATAATGGCTCTGATGCCAGGACTTGTGTAAACCTTCAGCCCCTGCTAGGTCACATCCCATCCTGGCTTCAAAGGAGGCCCAGGATTTATGACCTTTCAAGAATAAAGTCACAAATTCATTCTTTACAAATGTGATTATGTTCAACCCAATGGCTTCTTCAGGTTATTTGCTGCTAGAGAAATCTGCCAACAGGCACCCATACTTCGTCATCAGGAGTCCAGCACTGGAGAGTGTCTCACCCAGCCTGTTCCCCACCTTCTTCTGGTCTTGGAACTGGACAGGGAACAAAATACAATCCTTACAGTTACAGTATTTTTGAATGTCTCAAAACTGCAACAGGGCAAGTCTCAATCCCCTGAATCTTGGGAGCTTGAGAAGAAACATGGGTAGGGTATCATCCCAGAAGTTGTTCTGGAAGCATTTGGGAGCCTTGCAAGTACAGAATTATACAACTATAAGAACATTTCCTACCTCCTGAAAGAAGGGCTGAGTTTGCCCTCTTGAACTGCACTTCTAAAAGTGCCAGGAACACCTTAGGAAGTGCAGCAAAGCAACTGGAAAAGTTGGAATTAATGAGTGTCCCTTACCTCATGCTGAGTTTCAGAAGAACAGCATGAAGCTAGGGACAAGTGCTTGGTCCTGTGCAGAAGGTCATCTAGTTGGCTACCAAGCCAGCCAAAATATGTGAATCACTGCATGTAACCTTAAGAATTCTTAAGATGTATCCTTTATAAAGAAAAGAGAAACAAAAGATATCAACAACTCATTCATGATAGCATTATGAGGTAATAATAATAATAATTCAACTCTAATCCTTAGTATTCATATAGCACTTGCAAAAATGATCCTGTAGCAATCCTTAGAAGAAACTACTACCATTTCCACACTGCAGACAGGCACTGAAATTAAAAATAAGATTGCATGTCTAAGGCCACTTAATGAGCATATCATAGCTTAGCAGTGAGGTTGAAAAATATTTCCTAATCAAGCTCAATGTCTTAGCCACTACACTGCAGCAGCTGCTAAGAAATTATGTTATTTTAAAAAATGTAACACTGTTTTGAATATGCAACATACATCTAATTTCCCACCAGGAAGTATTTACAAGATTAACAAACTTAAGCTACTCTAAATAGTCTGCTAATGAATCAAGTAAACCTTGATTCAAGTAAAGGCTTTCCCTTTTGACATTTGCCTCAAATAATGTCTAGGCAAAAACTGATAATGTAAAGAGTGTAAGCAATGCAAAGAAAAGGTTCAAAAAGTAAATAAATATTAGAGATGGAACTGTACTGTATTATGTAGTCAATATTATGTTTTAGTATCACTGTAATGAGACCCTGTTTCTTACAAATGTCATGCACAGAACACTAATTACCAACAAAGGACACAACATTTACTAGGTTCAAACAAGATCCCCAAGCTTATAAATCATGTGAGCCCACCAGGACTTATTTGGAATGGCTTATAAACCCAGGTTCTGGGCTTATAATCAGCCCTGACAATCCATAACTTGTAGGGGTTGGTAGACACCCCTGAGTTTGCAATGTTATAACAAAGCCACTTGACAAGAACTGCAAGAAATCCAGCACAGGATGTGGCAGATGAAACTACAACTGGCTAAGCTGACTTTCAGGGCAGTTGTAAGTCAGCTAAGCCTACTGCAGATACTTCGGCTCCTTAGCAGTGCCATGGGTCCAGGGAGCCACACTGCACTGGTTAGCCTACCCTTGAGTAAGCCAAGAGTGCAGTTCAGTTCTTCCTGTCCCATGGCACTAGTGGACAGCTCTGTCACCAGGTGGAAAGAGTGCAGTGGGACAGGACTGCTGCCACCAATCTTGGCAGAGGCAGCTTGAGCAAGCCACCTTTGACAAGACAGCAGTAGCATTATTAGTCCTTAGTCCTCACTGAAGCTTATGATGTCTGTTCCAAGTCAGGGTGGCAGTCATGGCACCCTGCTCCCACGACAAGCCTTTGCGGGGAAACCTCACCGCTCCTGAAGTGTACCTGTGGAAAGACTAAGGGGGAGGAGCAGGAGGCACAATACACCTTGCCCTCAAGGTGCCCAATCATCTGCTAGACGATTTATCAGTAGGGTGGCTAATAAGGAACCTCAAGTGTCAGAAAGCAGACAGTCCCAGCCAATATAACTAGAATACAAGCTGAGACTTTTAAATGCGATAAAGAGAAACTATCTCTTATCACTTCAGTATGCTTCACTCTCAACTAAGAAATGAGGTATACTGACCTTTATCAAATAAAATACCTATTTGGAACTTAACCTCAATCAAGAAATACAGTGTCTGGACTAACCTAGGCAAAAATAATTTCCACATCATTCTCTATATATGGCCTCTCTTAGATTTTGAATACATATAGCCCAAAGGCAACAACCCGAAAACTGAGTGCATAGATTAAAAAGACACCACCCCTTAATGTTTCTCACCCAAACTATTCTAGATGTCAATCATACAACAAAATTTAACAACAGCTTACTGAGATGCGGAAGAGAAAGAGCTGCATGAATATAAAACATCATAGTCAAAATTAAACATGGAAATTGAAAGTTACTAACTCTCCTCAACATGTATATAAGTCAACAAAGAAGCTCAAGGTACAATTGTACCAAGGGTTAACAGGATGTGGGCATACAGAAGGATTATAGAACATTCCATATTTTCATTCTATCCAATTTATTCCAAGAAGATCACTACTCACGACACATCAAATATCACTTGCTTTGCTATGCCAGCAAACCTGCATCTCAGTGAAATTCACACAAGATCCCCCTAATACCTGTGCTGTCTTTTCTGTTTGGGGCAGTGTAGTGAAAAGCCTCCACATATGTTTGCAAACTGTTGTTGTTGTTGTTAGTCGCAAAGTTGTGCTGGCCCATCGCGACCCCATGGACAACATTCCTCCAGGCCTTCCTGTCCTCCACCATCCCCTGGAGCCCACCTAAGCTCACACCAACTGCTTTATCTAACCACCTCATCCTCTGCCGTCCCCTCCTTCTTTTGCCATCTATTCTTCCCAGCATTAGGCTCTTCTCCAGGGAGTCCTTCCTTCTCATTAGGTGGCCAAAGTATTTGAGTTTCATCTTCAGTATCTGGCCTTCTAAAGAGCAGTCAGGGTTGATCTCCTTTAG